ACTAAGGGAAATGTTAGTGGTCAATACTGAGCAACTTTGAACATTATGACACCCTATTCAGCCAGCATACACTTGTTCAGGGTCAGTAACATGGAAGGTATTTAAGCCAAAGGGTTGTATATTTTCTGCATGACAGCCCAGCAGTTCGCATTTTCAGTAGTAAGCAGGTTGCCGATGGCCATATTGCTGTCATGACAGGTTAACATTGAAAACAAATTTCTCACTTTTCTTTTGCTGAACACTCTGTGGTTTTGTTACCTCTGTTTAAATCTCTGACCCCAGAGTAAAAAAGCAGCACTGAGTAAGGAGCCAATCTAGAAACACTAACAGTATACATTCAAAATTGCCACACCCAAAGTGGATTTCATATTACTTTGTATTATTAATCCAAACATTGACAGACAAACACAAACTTATTACTTCATCTACTGAGTGGACTTGTCTAAACTCTCACTTCATGGAGACAGATACCCTTAAAAGGATATGTAATTACAAAAACACCAGGAACACCTTCCATACAGCTGCCCAGTTGGTGGATGGAATTGACTAAAGTTATGTAGTTCGGTATGGTGGGAAGTGAGATGGAACTGTATTCACTAAACAGCAAATTGCATACAAGGCAATAAAAAAAATACAGCTTCTCCTTCACATGGTTGCTCATTTGTTTGAACAGCTTCACTTCATTTTTACCTTGCTTTGAAAAATCACAGTGCCTGTAAAACTCAAGTGGGGAAAAAATGAAATAAAATATATATGTTTTATTACAGTTCGCTGTCAGTACAAGGCCCTTATGAGTGATGAAGCAGAGTGGTCCTCTGCTCACCATGCATAGAGAAAGACATGGGCTCCTTTAACTCCCATTTCCACAGTCCTCTGCACTCCTAGACTTGCCTAAGGAATAGAGGTTTCCCATCTTTAGGTGCTTAGGGAGACTAAACCTGATGAGGCAGAGGTGGTTGGACATGTGGTCTGCAGCTTGGTGTACAGTCCCCCATCATAAATCCAAGTGTGAGGGCAGTCAGGCTGGAGTTCCATCAGCAATAGCTTCTACAGAAGACCCAGCTACTGGGGAGAGCACTTGTGTGAATTGTGTTTCTAGTGGGGTTTCTCTGCTTCTCCAGCTGCTCACTTATGTTACCAGCTGTGAGACTCCTTCAGCTACTCCTCTGTGTTTATCAGTCCTAAGACCCATCCAGCTGCTCGCTCGTGTTACGAAACCTGAGACTCCTCCAGCTGCTCACCTGTGTTACCAGACCTGAGACTCCTCCAGCTGCTCACCTGTGTTACCAGACCTGAGACTCCTCCAGCTGCTCACCTGTGTTATCAGACCTGAGACTTCTCCAGCTGCTCACCTGTGTTACCAGACCTGAGACTCCTCCAGCTGCTCACCTGTGTTACCAGACCTGAGACTCCTCCAGCTGCTCACCTGTGTTACCAGACCTGAGACTCCTCCAGCTGCTCGCCTGTGTTACCAGACCTGAGACCCCTCCAACTGCTCGCCTGTGTTACCAGACCTGAGACTCCTCTAGCTGCTCACCTGTGTTACCAGACCTGAGACTCCTCCAGCTGCTCACCTGTGTTACCAGACCTGAGACCCCTTCAGCTGCACGCCTGTGTTACCAGACCGGAGACCCCTCCAGCTGCCTGTCTGTGTTACCAGACCTGAGACTCCTCCAGCTGCTCGCCTGTGTTATCAAAACTGAGACTCCTCCAGCTGCTTGCCTGTGTTACCAGACCGAGACCTCTTCAGCTGCACGCCTGTGTTACCAGACCGGAGACCCCTCCAACTGCTCGCCTGTGTTACCAGACCTGAGACCCAAACCCCCCCCCCCCCCCCCCAGCTAGCTGCTCACCTGTGTTACCAGACCTGAGACCCCTCCAGCTGCTTGCCTGTGTTACCGGACCTGAGACCCCTTCAGCTGCTCGCCTGTTACCAGCCCTGAGACTCCTCCAGTTACTCATTTTGTTACCATCCCTGAGTCCCCTCTAGCTGCTTGCCTGTGTTACCATCCCTGAGATCCCTCCAGCTGATTGCCTGTGTTACCATCCCTGAGTCCCTTCCAGCTGCTTGCCTGTGTTACCTGTCCTGAGACCTAGCCTAGCCTTCACTGAGAGGAATGCTATCTCTGAGGATAAGTGCAAGTAGCTGTTTGTGTACTGTTTACTGGAGTAGTGCTTTTTCTCTAGTCTCTGTTACACAGCTGCTCCAACAGTCTATCTTAATGGGAGTATGAGTGCTCTCTACTTACCCAGAATTCCCTTGTGCCTGACAATTGACCATTGCCCCAAGCTATATATATACATACACACAGAGACATTGCTAGACTATTTTGCTCCCTAGGCAAGACCAGCTACTTGCACCACCCCCCCAAAAAAAGAAAAAAATTGACATTTTAAAAAACATATTTAATCTTAGATCTGATCAGGAGCATCACCTGGATGGCATCCTGATCAGCATCTCAATGAAGGCTATGCAGTACCAGTGCTGCTAAGTGACCTGCGGGGGGCTCAGCTGTCTACAACCAATTGTGCTGGCCCTTCTGCGCATGCACCGATCAGCCCCATAAAGTAGCCAGCACTGGGTCCTTATGTGCTGCCATGGAGACAGGCCAGTGCTGTCAATAGCAGGGGCAGGACAGCAATCCTGCTAGTTCTGCCTATGGGCCACAGTGGGAGGAGTCCCCCATCCACCTGTAATGTGTGGATGTGGGAATTGGCGCTTATTTGTTTTTTTGTTCAATCTAAAAAAAAGTGATCAATGTACAGTATGGCTGCCTAGGTGCTAACTGGAACTGAACGTTTGTGAAGCTGTTGGAAGAATAGAGAGGTGGGGGGGTTCAGATGGGGGAGAGGAGGGAGATGGGACAGCAGAAATCAGTCTATTTTTTGAAATTGTCTCTTATATAATGGGTGGTTAGTAACACTGCTTGGGGCCCCCCACAATGGCGTAACTCCAGGGCCCAGTCGCAAGTGCAACTTCTGCAACCCTGGTAGTTCTGCCACTGCAACTGTAATGTATACAGTAAGGCTTGCATGGGCCCCTAGACTGTGGGGCAGCCATAAAGTAATTTTTCAAAATGGACTCCCTTTTTCAAAGTGAAGCATAACTCTCTTGCTCTCGATTGCAGTTTATCTGGGCAGCACCTAGGGATCAGATGTCAGCAGTGTTGCAGTGTAAGTTGCTTGCTGTGATGCCCCAACCTGGCAACATGGCGTCACTGCACGGTATCATTGCAAAAATATGCCGACTGGTGTAAAAATGCATCAAAGGGATGTAAGTTCATGGAGATATTCCATGCAAAGATTTTTTTTTTCTTGATGTCAATTTGAATAAGATAGTGGTTATAGGGAATGTGTGACACTGTTGCTTCGGTTTGATATAGTAGTCACGGTTCTTAGGGTGCCTTATAACCGATAGTCAGTCCTGATAAAAGAAGTACTGTTATTTAAGGCTTATTGAACAATTCCGTAGATGCATGATTTGCATATTCATTTAGAAAATGATGTTCAATGATGGCATTTAGTACTTGAAACAGCCGGTTCTGTATTGCAGCGCTGTCAGGGACCTTGTTAAAACACAAGTGTATTTACAGGATGTTTCTAGAGCATCCCTGCTGCTCTGGAGAAAAGGATTAGGCTACTGCTGAATTTAAATATATTGCTTTAATTAACCAGATAAACAAATTTGCATAATTTATATACAAACCTTCTGTCTGCAGTTTGGACCACACATGTAATGATATGCAAATTGGTAACAATTAGCGGCAGGAAATACCAATTTGTTGGCAATAGAACCAAAATAGCCAAGCATGACCTTCAACTGCTAAATCCTTGGAAAAGAATAAAAGTTGTTCCAACAGACAGATAAAACTAGCTTCTATCCAAACACATAGCTGTCTCCTTTTTAAACCTTAAAAGAGTTGTCCAAAGCTTTTTTGACCATATTTCTCTTCTGGGTCACAAAAGTGCAGCTAATAGTAGCCAGGGCGTCCCTAGTCAGGTGCGGGGGGTGCGCGCCCCACCGGGTGACACCTATCACATAGGGTGACACCGGACCCGCTCCACAAAAAGGTAAGTTGTACAGCAAGCTGACGATCCCTGCAGGATGGATCGGATCTGCGGATTGAGCATAATGGATCCGACTTCGATCCAGTATCTTCCCCAATCCGCAGATCTGATCCATCCTGTGGGGTGGGGATCGTCAGCATGCAACCTATACGGGGTTAACTGATCTCTCCACGAAAAGGTACGTTTTCAAGCAAGCCGACGATCCCCACAGAATGGATCGGATCTGTGGATTGAGCATAATGGATTGGAGTCCGATCCATTATGCTCCTCAATCCTTTTCGTGGAGAGATCAGTTAACCCCGTATAGGTTGCATGCCGACGATCCCTGCAGGATGGATCGGATCTGCAGGTTGGGGAGGATAATGGATTGTACTCTGATCCATTATACTCAATCCGCAGATCCGATCCATCCTGTGGGGATCGTCGGAGGGGGTGTCACTAAGTGTTACCACACCAGGTGACACCAACCCTAGGGACGCCCCTGAATTGTAGCCCATTGTCACTGACATCACAGAGTGTCTCCAGACTGTTGGAATCCACTCAGCTGCTTAATTGACAGCTGGCTCCAGATCTCAGTGTTCGGCTGGGAGCTGAAGACACTTGCACCCACCCCCTCTGCAGCCTGCCACTCCAGTGAGTTCTGGAGGAGCAGAGAAGAGTGACGACTGACAGTCACCACTCTCTTCTACAAGGAGACTGAAAGCTGAGCGCTCGGTGGTTATGTGATCACTCATTTCTTAGAGCTGGCAGAGGACAGCTGCAGCATTGGTGCGATAAAGTGAAGTATGGATGTTTGTTTTCCTTAGCAACCCAAAATGCCTTTTTTAACCGGTTGTCCTCTGCCCTATAGCAGAAGTACTGCTATAGGGTGGCATGGCTGCGCAAAATCACATATATGCACGTGATTCGCATTTCCGGGTAGGAGGCACTCTGCGCGGCTTTTGGCTGCTGGGGATGTTAATCACCGGGTCCCAGCTGGCGATTCCTGGCCGGCACTTGGTGATCATTGACGGGGCTGAGATTGGAAAGATCTGTGTGTAAAAACAGATCTCTCTCCTGTCAGCATGGACATTCTGCTTTGTACATCTCTGCACAGGAGAAAAATACAAAGCAGCATGTCTCCCAAGTAAAACACACACAGCACACTGTTAACCCTTTGATTGCCCCAGATGTTAACCCCTTCCAGCTCAGTGTCATTAGTATAGTATCAGTGCTTTTTATTAGCACTGATCACTGTATTAGTGTCACTGGGGATGTCAGTGGCTGTTAGTAAGTTCCCACCCAGTGTCAGAATGCCCGCCACAGTCCAGCAGTCCCGCTATAAGTTGCTGATCACTGCCATTACTAGTATGAAAAAAAAAATTACAATTCCAGTATATATATACCATAATTTGTAGACACTATAACTTTCACAAAAACAAATTAACCCCCCTGGTGGTGTTCCCGAGTGTAGATCGGGGTTAACTTTCAGTACCAGAAACGGTAACCCTGGGCTACACTACCTTGCAGCGTTGCTCAGGGATTCCCTTCAGCACTTACCTTGTCATTCGCTCCCGTGAGTGCATCTCCCGATGCCGGCATCTGTCTTCCGGGTTCCGTTCCCTGCAAGCATCAGGACGTACGGGGGACGGAACCGGCGGGAAATGAAAAAATTTAAAAAGTGAAATTCACTCAATACACTAAAATCTCATAGTATAACATTACTGTATCAAAGCATTTCACATACATTTTGTCCCGAGTGCTTTGTCCTGCGCCCTGCCTGCATTTTTACTGTTCTTTCTGCCTGGAAACTGAGAAATGGTAAGACCAGCGCGAGTACCATTATAGGGGTGGACACTCAGGGAACAGGTGCCGCGTTTCGAAGGATGTTCCTTCTTCATCAGAAGCTCTGATGGTCTTACCATTCCATAGTTCCTTTGAGAACTGACATGCTTAAAATACTTAATGTTTGTGAGTATATTTATGTATCCAATAAAAATTTGGTTTACTGAGGTAATGCACAAGGTTGGTGCGCTTCATTTTTTGTTTTTGCTTCACAGTATTGGTCGGGCTTCCCCAGCCTTGTTTGGAGCTGCACAACCCCATATGCACAGGTGGTCGAATTTTTCAAGTTCTGGTTCCATCTTTCCACCTCTTTTGGGTCTCAGAGCGCAGGAGAGTTTTTCTATTTTGAAAATCGGTTTTAGACCAGCTAGAGAACAGCAATAGTAAATTAGAACCACTTGCAGAATTGAGTGATAATGATTTGTGGGGAAATTCGCCATCAGACACTGAAAACGATTTTGCAACTAAGCTCGGTGATGTGCGAACTTGGCGCTATAATTCAAATTTTAGTGTTTTTGGTTTGATTACCGTATTTTTCGCTCCATAAGACGCACCTGACCATAAGAGGCACCTAGGTTTTAGAGGCGAGAAACAAGAAAAAAAAATATTCTGAACCAATGGACTGCAGACACAGTACAGGAGATGACCAGAGACTGCGGACACAGTGCAGGAGATGACCAGAGACTGCGGACACAGTGCAGGAGATGACCAGAGACTGCGGACACAGTGCAGGGGATGACCAGAGACTGTGGACACAGTGCAGGGAATGACCAGAGACTGCGGACACAGTGCAGGGGATGACCAGAGACTGCGGACACAGTGCAGGGGATGACCAGAGACTGCGGACACAGTGCAGGGGATGACCAGAGACTGCGGACACAGTGCAGGGGATGACCAGAGACTGCGGACACAGTGCAGGAGGTGACCAGAGACTGCGGACACAGTGCAGGGGATGACCAGAGACTGCGGACACAGTGCAGGGGATGACCAGAGACTGCGGACACAGTGCAGGGAATGACCAGAGACTGCGGACAGTACAGGAGATGACCAGAGACTGCGGACAGTGCAGGAGATGACCAGAGACTGCGGACAGTGCAGGGAATGACCAGAGACTGCGGACAGTGCAGGGAATGACCAGAGACTGCGGACAGTGCAGGGAATGACCAGAGGCTGCTGACCTTTGGGGAGGGAGGGGGAGCGAGTACTGAATTTGACAGGCACCCGCTCCAACTTCCGCGGAGTTGTCCTTACCTCTTCTTCCCGGGCCGGCTTCTGTGACAGCCGGGTGCCCACTGCGCATGCGTGAGAAGCGCTGCGCTTTGTGAATGGCCCAGCGCCTTCTGAGACCTGTCATGTGTCCCAGAAGACACCGGATCATTCACAAAGCGCAGCACATGCGCAGTGGGCACCCGGCTGTCACAGAAGCCAGCGCGGGAAGACTGTGCAGCGCTGGAGCGAGGAACAGGTAAGGCCCTGCAGGAGACAACAGCTGAGCGGCCGGCCCGGTATTCTGACATGGTGGCCGCAAAAATACTGGACCGGCCCCTTTATATTCGCTCCATAAGACGCACTGACATTTTCCCCCCTTTTTTGGGGGGAAAAAAAGTGCGTCTTATGGAGCGAAAAATACGGTATATTATTGAATTAAATGTATTATTATTATATTATTTTTTTTTAGGATTATTTATTAAATTATAATTTATGATTTAGTGTTTCAAATTTTAACATATGGGGGATGTTTACTAGACTCTTGTTCGGACAGATTTCAGTGAGTTATTCCTACAAATTACAGGCTTACAATAAAAAAAGACATATTTCCATGCAAATAAATGTACCACTTTGAGCACAGAAATACTGACACAATCAGACCACTAGGAAGGTTTTTTTTTTTAGCAAAGATGTGTAGCAGAATACATTTTGGCCTAAATTTATAAACAAATTTGATTTTTTTACATTTTTTGATTGGATATGTTTTACAGCAAAAAGTAAAAAATTAGTTTTTTTTTTTTTCAAAATTGTCAGTCTTTTTTCATATAGCGCAAGAAATAAAAAAAAAACAGCAATGATCAAATACCACTAAAAGAAAGCTATTTGTGGGAAAAAATGACAAATTTCATTTATGTACAGTGTTGCATGACCGCATGATTGTCAGTTAAAGTAACGCATCGCCGTATTGCAAAAAATAGCCTGGTCAGGAAGGGGGAGAAAATCCTCTGGAGGGCAAGTGGTTAAAGTATAACTAAAAGCATTTTTTTTTTTTTTATTTGGATAGAGGGGAGAAGATTTAGAATATCTGTCATCATGTGTTTATTGCTGTCTGTGCCCTCTTTAGGGAGATTCATCTTTTCTATTCATCATGTTTACCATTATCACTGAAAATATGACTATGGGGACAATTCACTAAAGGTAATCGCATGCGTTATGTCAATCAGGTGACCACATATCGCATGCAATACTGAAAATGTCAATTTACTCCTGCTAGTATGCGGTATTTACAGCAAATAGCAAAAACGCTGGGTAAATACTGCATAAAAAGACCTTAAAGTCAGTTCACAGAAGGAAATAAATAATTAAATGCATGCAGTATGTACTAGTAGTTAAGGAGCGGGCAGCCGTCGGCATCCTTAACAACCAGCAATGGTCATGGTTGTTAAGGAGTGGGTGGCCTTCACAACTGATGAGTTATCAGCTGTCAACAGGGGTCCCCGCTGACAGTTGAGTGTGAAAAAAAGAATTGCCAGCAATTCAAAATTAAGAAAAAGCGACGTGGGGTTTCCCCCCCATCCATATCAAGCCCTTTGGGTCTGGGTACTGGTACAGAATTCGAGGGGAACCTTCACGACAAAATAAAAAGAAATGGTGCGGGGTCCCCTCAAAATCTATACCAGACCCTTTTCAGAGCATGCAACCTGTCGGGTTAGGAAAGGGGGAGGAACAAGCAAGCGTCCCCCTCCAAACCATATCAGGCCACATGCCCTCAACATGGGAGGTGTTTTGGGGCAGGGGGCTCTGCCCCCCAAAACCACCTTGTCCCTATGCTGATGGGGACAAGGGCCTTTTCCCTACAGTCCTGGCCAGTGGTTGTGGGGGTCAGCGGGCAGGAGGCTTATCGGAATCTAGAAACCCCCTTTAACAAGGGGGTCCCCAGACCCTGCCCCCCTATGTAAATAAATGAGTGTAGGGTACCCAAAAAATAAGTAGTGTAAAAAAACACAGGAGACAGTTTTTGACAAATCCTTTATTAAAAAAAACAAACAAAAAATGTCCCCTGGTGTACATCCATTGTCAATCATAATGCCCACCCACCAAAAAGGTAAAAAAAAGAGGCTCCACTCCTGACAAAGGCTTCCTCCACCTGACAGGTCCTAAATAGACAAGGGGCAGGGCCACACAGTGATGTTGCCAGGTGACCCCACCCCCTTGTGGCATCATTGGCACGTCATTTTTGTTTTTTTAATAAAAGACTTGTCAGCAACTGCCTGCTGTGTTTTTTTAAATTACACTTTTTTTTTTTGTGAATGAGTAGGGATACGATGTACCCCATAGCCATTCACATTGGGGGGGCAGGATCTGGATGGACCCCTTGTTAAAGGGGGTTTCCAGATTCCGATAAGCCCCCCACCCCCCGGCTTTTGAGGGGCAAACCTAGGGGGCCATGTTGAGGTCATTTGGCCTGGCGTGGATCAGGAGGGGGGGAGCGCTTGCTAGTCCCACACTCTTTCCTGACCTCCGGGCTGCATGCTTGGATAAGGGTCTGGTAGGGATGATCTTGGGGGGGACCCAACACCATTTTTTTTTTTGTATTTTTGGCGTAGGAGTAATTTTTTTTTTTTTAATTTTTAATTGCTGGTGTTTTTTTTTTTTTTTACATTCAACTGTCAGAGGGTAACCCGCTGATGACTCATTACATTACTGCATGTTTTCAGTACTAAAATACTGCTTGACTTAATAAAATAACTCATTCGGTATTTTAGCAGCTTTTTTTTTTTTTTTTTTTTTTTGTGAATGCCAACATTTTTTTTTCTTTTTTTTTAAACACTGTGCAGTATCTTACTGCATACATGGATGTGGTAAGATACTACTTTGTGAATTGTCCCCTATATCAGGAAGGCAATTTTAGT